GAGTGGAAGGGAGAGAGGAAAGGGGGGTAAGGGGAGAGGGAAAGAGAGAGAGGGAGAAGAACATCGAGGTGAGGGAGACACATCAATTGGTTGCCTCCTGCATGTGTCCTGACTGGGGCTGGGGATTGAACCCACAACCAAGGTATGCGCCCTTGCCTGGGAATGGAACCTGAATCCCTTTGGTCCCCAGGCCGGCGCTCTAACCACTGAGCCTCCCAGCCAGGGCAGCTGAACCTTTCTTTCTGCAGACCTCGTTCTCCCGAGAAATGGCATCTTTTTTGCAGAACGGGCACCCAATTAGGGGGGAAAGGTGCCTTCTCCAGAACCCGGCGTCACTAAGGGAGAGCTGGTGTTCCAACCACAACACTGGCACCTCCCCCCCCAGGCCGATGCCCGCCCGGCACTGCCAGCGTGACCCGGGGCCCAGCGTCGCTCACCGAAGGTGGGGTCTGCGGCCTTCAGCTTCGCCAGGCAGCCCTCGATGCCGCCGAGCGCCTTGTCGTTGGTCCAGGTGACGTACTGAAACACCGGGGTCTCACCGCGCCGCCCGGAGGGGCCCGGCGCCCGCCGTGACGGCGCAGCCTGGGCCTGGCCGCTGCGCCCGGACACGCAGGGCTTTCTGGGCTCAGCGGAAGCGGGGCTGGGTGCACCTCAGAGGGGAGACCGAACACGTGCCACGCGAGGCACGTTCTGGGGGGCGGGGAGGCCGCCGTGTCCAAACCCACAGCCTCTAGGGGAGTCTGCCTGCGCACCTGCCCTCCACTCAGCCGAGACGGGCACCCAGAGGCGTCCTCTCTGCCCTGTTCACGCCTTTAAGAACAGAGCCCTGGCTGGTGTGGCTCAGTGGATAGAGCGTCAGCCTGCGGACCAAAGGGGTCCTGGTTCAATTCTGGTCAAGGGCATGCACCTTGGTTGCAGGCTCCTCCCTGGCCCAGGCCCTGGTTGGGGCGTGTGCAGGAGGCAACCAGTCGATGTGTTTCTCTCACATCGATATTTCTCTCTGTCTTCCCCTCTCTCCCACTCTCTCTAAAAGATCAACAGGAAAATACCCTCAGGTGAGGACTATACAATAAAAATAAATAAATAATAAAATAGTTTAAACAAAGAACTGTAGTAAACAAGCATTGTGAAAAGTCAGGCCAAGCCCTGGCCAGTGTGGCTCAATGGTTGGGTGTCGTCTCATTCATTGAAGTGTCACCAGTTTGATTCCTGGTCAGGGCACATGCCCAGGTTGTGGGTTGGATCCCTGGTTGGGGTGCATACGGGAGGCAACTGAATGACGTGTCTCTCTCTCTCTCTCTCTCTCTCTCTCTCTCTCTCTCTCTCTCTCTCTCCCACTCCCTCTAAAATCAAGAATAGTTTTTAGGAAGCGTTATGAAGAATGCCTGGGTCCCCACCAAGCCCTGCTCCCCCCGAGTTCCCGGGAGCCCTGGGAAAGGGCCCGGGGACTCCACTGTGGTTAACCAGGAGCCGCAGAAGGCGGGAGGCTCCAAAAGTGCTCAGGGCCCCCCCGGCCCCCCGGCCCCGTCAGGTGCATGTGGAAGCGAGGGGTTAGAGGGCGCACAGCACCCTGGGCACCGGGAAGCAGGAGCGGACATAGCTGTGAGACGCACCTGACATTTTATAATAACAGGGAAATTCATTAAAAGCATCCCCAGCCCGGCCGCGTGGCTCCGTGGCTGAGCGTCGACCCGTGAACCAGGAGGTCAGGGTTCGATTCCGGTCAAGGGCACAGCCCGGGTTACCGGCTGGATCCCCAGAGGGGGGTGTGCAGGGGGCAGCTGATCCATGATTCCCTCTCATTTAAGTTTCTATCCCTCTCCTCTCCTTCTCTCTGAAGTTAATACAAACATACCGTATTTTTTTTTTTTTTAAACATTCACCGATTTCAGAACCCGGCCCTGGACCTGCAGGGAAGGGGCTGCCATGCTCAGGGGGCATCACCTGGGTCAGGGTGGCATCGAACAGCTTGCAGGCCTCGTTGCTGGGGGTTGAGAGCGGGAGGCCCGCATCCTTCCACGCCTGCACAGCAAGAGGGGGTGCAGTCAGGGCTTGTTCCCCGCACGGAGGCCTCCAGCCTGGCACTGAGGGTGGTCCCCGGGGGCCTCCCAGACCTCACAGCTGAAGGAGCAGGGGGAGCTCCCCAGGCGGCCCCGCCGCCTCTAAGCACTGTGCCCTCCGGGAGGTCCTCCCTCGGACCCGGGCCGGCCCTCTGTGAACGGGCTCCGGTGCCTGGGAGCGTCCGGGGAGCAGGCGGAGGGCAGCGGTCCGGCTGGAGGGCACGGCGGGGCGGGGTGGGCTCCGCCGGGCAGGGGAGGGCGTCGCCCGCTAACCCCCGAACGGCCCCTCCGCTCCCACCTGTGGGACCGCCGTCCGCCCCCTTGGTATTCCTCTCCCCGGGTGTCCGCACCCCGGTGTCCCCCCTCGGTGTCCGGGTCCCGTTGTCCCTCCCTCGGTGTCCCCACCTCAATGTCCCCCCCCTCGGTGTCCCCCCCTTGGTGTCCCTCCCCGTTGTCCCCCCCCTCGGTGTCCCGCCCCCCGGTGTCTGCCCCCTGGTGTCCGGCCCTCGGTGTCCCCCCCCCCGGTGTCCCCCCTTCGGTGTCCCCTCCCCACTCCCCGGGGCGGCATGTCCCCTCCGCCCGGCCCCTCTGGGGAACACCCTGTCCTGCGCCCTCCGAACCCGCCTCCTCTGCCCGGGGCGGCCCCGCCCGGCAGGTGCCCGGAGACCCTGGCTGCCGCCGGCCTGCGGGGCCACGCGGGCTGGTGCCTGCCTCCCTCGGGGGAGCCGCGGGGCGGTGCTCCGGGTCCTCCGTACCTGGCAGTCCCGCAGCGGCGGGCACACGGCCATGGTGCGCTCCGGGGCGCCGTCCGCTCTGCGGGGCCTTCCGGGAGGGGCGGGGCCTGGATGGAAGGTGGGCGGGGCCGGAGGGGAGGGGCCTGGAGGGAAGGTGGGCGGGGCTGGATGGGCGGGGCGGGGCGCTGGGGGCGGGGCCTGGAGGGAGATGGTCGGTGCCTGGGGATGTGGGCGGGGCCTGGAGGGAGGGGGCGGGGCCGGCTGGCGGGCAGTCAGGGACAGAGGCCGGACAGCGCCCGCCTCACCAGGCAGTCGGAGGCCCGGGACAGCGGCCGGCGCAGCGCCGCCCCAGGTGCGCCCGGAAGGCGCTGGAGGAGCCCGCCTGGCTCCAGGGGCACACTCGGCATGAGCCTCGGTGTGCGCTCATCTTGCCTCCCCAACTCCGGCTCCCCACGACCACCGAAGGGCCCCTCCCTGCCGGACACCGAGGGGGGACCCCCTTGCGGAGGGACTGCTGAGTCCCGGGGGCAGAGGAGCCCGGGGCAGCGGTAGCTCCACTGGGAAGCCAGGCGTGGCCAACACCCCTCCAGGATCCGGCGTCCCCTCCCGCTGCCTCTCCAGGACTTGCAGCCTGAGCTCTGCCCTCAGCCCCAAACCTCTAGCCACCGCCCCGCCCCCCCAACTCCCAATGTATGCTAACCACTCATCTCCCCCTCCCCTCCCACTTCTTCTCCCTCTTCCTCTCCCCCTCCCCTCCTCCTCCCTCTTCTTACCTCTCCCTCTCCCTGCCTCTCTCTATAAAATTAATGGAAACATCCTCAGGTGAAGATTTAAAAAATGCTCATCCTTATTAGTCATCAGGGAAATGCAAATCAAAAGCACAGTGAAATGCCACTTCACACTGGCAGGTTGACTAGAAAGAAAGGTAATAAGGTGTTGCCAAGGACGCGGAGAAACTGAAACCCTCATGCTGGGATGGTGGGAACGTGAGGGGCTAGGACACTCGAGAAATGTGTGTTAGTGAATGAGGAAGGAAAGAAAAAAGTCAGAGGGCATAATACAAAAAACAACAAAGGTGTAGGCTGAAATCTAAACTTTTCCATAATTACATTAAATGTTGATGGTTTAAATATTTCAATTAAAAGGCAGAGATAGACTGAGCGGACAAAACAAAACCAACCCTCTTAAATACTGCCTACCAAAAAACACTTCAAATATGAAGACGAAGTTAATTTTAAAAGATGGGTCATGTAGACAGTACGTGTGGCTGTTTTATTCCAGCCCGCCACACCCACCCCGTTTTACTCAAGCATAATTGACATGTCATGTGACTGTTTTAATGTCAGGTAAAATGGACTTCAGACAGCATCATTACCAGCAACAGAGACATTTCATACCGATAAGAGGGGCGGCTTATCAGGAAGCATCGCCCTAACGGACCCAGCTCCGAGTGCCTGACGCCGAAACGGGCAGCCGGGGTGCCGGCTGGACCAGTGCCCAATGCCAAGAGGAGGGGCCAGCACCGCCTCAGACCTGGCAGAGCCAGGCAGAGTTCGGGAAGACTGTGCTCACACAGCGTGGGGCTCGCCCTGGCGTGTCCGGAACGCCCGCTCCCGGCAGCAGGACACACCCTGTCCGTGCACACGGGCCACAGAGCCGGACAGACCCCGCCACGGGCTCGCAAGCAAGCCGCCGCCAACGCCAAGGAGTGACACATGCCACAGAACAGCCCTCTGACCACAACCCAGACCAACGGCCAAACGCGTCCCCCGGAAACTCAAATGAGCGGGAACTAAACAGCGCACTTTTAATTCCCGGGTCAGACCCTAACGGCGGAGTTAGACACTTAACTGAAGGATGAAATACAACAGCTGCAGATGCGGGAGCAGAGTTTGGAAGGAAACTCAGAGCAGCAAACACTTGTATTTGCAGGGGGAGAGATCTAAAATCGGGATTTCACATGAAGAAAGTAGAAAAAAGCCCGGCTGGTGTGGCTCACTGGATAGAGCATCCGCCTGCGGACCGAAGGGTCCAGGTTCGACTTAGGTCAAAGGCACAGGCCCTGGTTGTGGGCTCCATCCCCAGTGTGGGGCGTGCAGGAGGCAGCCGATCCATGATTCTCTCTCTCTTCTCTCTCCTTTCCTCTCAAGTCAATAAAAAATAAAAAGTTGAAAAAGAAAAGCAAAGAGAGAAACCCAAAGTCCGCCCTCTTTGGGCGCGCAGGCGCTCACAGTCCCTGGTCCCCAGTGTGCCCGTTTCCCTGGCAGTGGGAGGCTGCCAGGGGCCCTCTCAGGGGGTCAAGACACGAGGCCACATCAATCCCATCAGCAGGCCCTGATCCCCTCCCCACCTGTGACCCCGCCGCCCCGTGACCCCGCGGCCCGCGCTCAGCCGGCCGTTGGCGCACCCCTGGCCGCGCCTGCGCCTCGGATCCCATCGGTCGGCGGCACCATGCGGCCTGCGCCGGCGCTCCTCCTGCTCCTGGGCCTGGGCCTGGGCCTGGGCCTGCGCTGCGGCTGCCTCCCTCCGCCCCCCGCCCCCCGCGGCGCCCCCACGCAGGCTCCGGCTCCCGGAGCGCCCGCCGGCGACGAGTCCCGGGCCCGGCCCCGCCCCCCGGCTCCGGGAGAGGCGGCCCCGCTGCGCTCCGCGCCCCGCACCCCGGGCCTCTGTCTGCTCCGCGGCCTCAGCCTGCGGCCACGCGTGGCCCCCCGCGGCGGCGGCAGCCTGAGTGGTAGTGACCGCGGCCTCTGCTTCCGCCGCGGCCCCGCACGGCGGTGGCCTTGGCGCTGCCTCCACGTGCGCGTCCTGCTCCGCGCGCTCCGTGCCCGCCGCGCGGCGCCCACCCCCATGGACCCGCGCTCCCCGCAGTGGCTCGGGCCTCTGGAACGGACCTTTCACCCCGGGCTGCTCAGCCCCACGGATGCCTCCCCAGCCTCCAGGGTGTCCCCCCGCTCCAGTGGCCTTCACCCCTTCATGGGCTTCGTGGCCCAAACCAAGTGTCCTACACATGTCAACTCCAGCAGTTCGCAAGCGGGCGAGTCCTCAGCGTCCTGCCAGGCCTCGGGGCAGGTTGACTGCTCTATCAGCAGGGTGCACATCAACAGGACGCCGGGCCATCCCATGGTGGTGTACACCCGGCGGATGAGCATCGACCTCAACGCCACCGCGGACTACGACTGCCCCAACGCTCAGGACACTTATTTTATCTGGAAGGTTTACCCCGTGGCCTCTCTCTTCCACGAGCCGGACTGGAAGAAACCTTTGGTGGTGCCGGACCTCCAGTTAGGACAGGATCCAACATTCGTGCACATCCCCCCGAAGTCCTTAGCTTTGGGTTTGTACGTGTTAAATTTCTCCCTGACCCTGGTCACTTACTCACCAGTATTAGCCACCGTGAAAGACTCGGACAGCGTCCACATCTCTGTCCTTGGTGACTTCCTGAAGGCGGTTCTTCTCGGGGACGCCCGGGAGACAGTGAAGTTCTCAGACCCGCTGGTTCTGAACGGATCCACATCGGCGGACCCAGACTCAGACGACCCACTGGAGGGACTCCAGTTCTCCTGGTACTGCACCACCAACGCAAACAACTACAACGGAGACCACATAAACGTGATCAGCAAGGAGGTGTGTCTCCCGCAGCAGGTGGACCTCAAGCTGACCTGGGCCTCTGCCTCTGACCCTGTCCTGACAATTTCCCCGGAGACACTCAGAGGAGGCAGGGTGTATTTTTTCCGAATGGTGGTAACGAAGACTCCCAGGACTGCCTACACGGAAAAAACCGTCCACGTGCTCCCAGCGCCAGCACCCACAGCAAGCATTTCGTGTGTTGAAAACTGTGGCAGGAATTTGGTTGTGTCGGATCGGTTCTCTTTGTTTCTAAACTGTCCCAATTGTGTCGGCAGCCGGGACGCCTACAAGTGGTCTGTCCAGCGGGCTTCGGGGGAAGAGATCCCATTTGATTGGCCGGGGCAGACTTCGACGGGGAGGGACAGCGATTCTTTGTCTATAAAAGCTTTTGCTTTTAGTAATTTTTCTGAATCTCAGTTTTGGCTTGTTTTAAATCTAGAAACTTGGGGTGGAGTGAACCTGACCCTCAGGCATCCCTTTATTGTGAACTATGCCCCTCAAATCGGAGATTGCCAAATTATTCCAACTAGCGGGGTTTCGTTTTCCACCAGGTTTGTTGTCCAGTGTAAAAATTTTCAGGACCAGAACACCCCTCTGACATATAAGATGATAGTGTCCGATTTGTACGATGGTTTTGGCGAAATCAGTTCTTTACCAGACAACACCTTGGGGACCATCCTGTATGTGGGCAACGACTTCCAGAGCCCCCCTTCCTTTCTCCCCGTCGGTCTGGAGAGCAGTCAGTTTGCCACGAAGCTCTTCGTCCAGGTGTATGACACGCTGGGAGCCTTCTCTCAGGTGACTCTGTTCGCCACTGTACAGGCTCCTACTGTCCAGGCCTCCCCCCAGGCCATACTGAACCAGCTAGTCAATTTCAGCAGGGGACCAAATTCAGAGATCTCTACTTTGCTCCAAAAGCAGGAGTTTCTGCCTGCAGGTTACTTAATGTACATGGTGGCCTCCGTTCTGAGCAGCATGAAACCCGAACCAGCGCTGCACGAGGACAAGACCATGCTCTGGGAACACCTGGTCAACCAGTCCTTCCTCCTCGCCATGGACACTCTGAATGGCATCAACCAGGTGGTCACGGCTCTCGCCAAAGTAACCCAGAGGACGTCTGAATTTCCCCAAGTTGCTCGGAAACCTGCCACAGACAGGATTTGGCAGGCAAACCAAGCCTTCCGGCAGCATCAGCAGAGAGGTCAGGACTTGCACTCGGAACAAATAGAAACCATGAGCACTGGGATACTAACGGTCGTGTCGAATATCCTTAAAATGGCCGATCGTCACGTGATTTATGTTGACCCTTTCCGTGTCATACAGTCTCTGGCAGAGACGGTACTGGCCGGCAAAGTGCCGGACGACGGAACCACCGTGATGAGCAGCCCCAGCTTTATCGTGTACGTTGGCAAAGTGGAAAAGTGGGCTGTTTCCAACCAAGTCCTAGGCAGCAAGAGAGACTGTCGGAATTGTTTTCAGCCAACACTCAACGTGAACAGCACTCCCCTTGTGCTGGCTAACGCTCCGGTCTCCATGGTGTTCTATGAGTTTGCAGATGACCCCTTCCCGTGGCTGGATTACCCGGAGAGCCTTTCGCTAGACGTGGTTGGATTCAGATTGACGGGAACCATGGCCAACGGGGACGAAACGGAGCTCACCCCCGACGTGGTGGACGTGTACGTCAGCAGGCGGAACTTGAGCTCTGCGGCCTTCAACCTCACTGTGGGCCCCGACCAGGAGCCCGAGAACCCGGACGAGTCCGCCAGGCAGACGACAGGGGCGTTCCGCTTCCAAGTGGACAGCCGCGAGGTGCGGGAGCTGCTGGTTCACATCGTGACCGAGGTGACCGTGCAGTTCACCGTGCTGGTGTACGCCGGCTGGGAGATGACCCCCTCCGCCTTGGTCACCACCTTCCTGGTGCCCCACGATATCCCTCCCATCGTCAACCACAGCGACCTGTTTGACCCGGCCTGTGCCGTGAGCGTGGCCCGCCTAGTTTGCCTCCCGCTGTCCCTGCTGCAGGTCATAGCTCAGCGGGGCCAGTCGCCGGAGTGTGTCATCATCGTGGCTTTGAAGGCACCTCATTTTGTCATGCAGCCCAGTAACAAGCTGGTGAGGGTTTCTCTCTTCGGGATCCACTGCCTGGACATGAATGGGATCCAGAGCGACTGGAGAGAAGACGTCTGTGTCCTCGGGGAGAAGACCACCTGGGACCGAGTGCACTGTGTCTGCGGGAAGGCCAGGCGGGCCCGGCGGCTGGCCACCGTCCCCCTGCGCTTCCGCCACCTGACAGCCAAGATGGTCGTGCCGCCGAACCCTGTGGACCTCCGGTTAGAGGTCATCAAGGAAGTGACCCACAACTCCGTGACCCTCTTGGTCGTCGTTTTCATTCTGTTCCTGTACTCCGTCCTGGCTTTCTGGGCCTTGCACAGAGATGAAACGGACCAGTTTCTTCGGGACCACGCCATCGTCCTCCCCGACAACGACCCTTACGACAACACATGCTACCTCGTCACTGTCTTCACAGGGAGCCGCTGTGGGTCCGGGACCAGGGCCAATGTCTTCGTCCAACTTACCGGGACCCGGAGCACCAGCGATGTTCATTGTTTAAGTCACCCCCAGTTTAAAACTCTCTACCGGGGCAGCGTCAACACTTTCCTCCTGACGACCAGCAGGAACTTGGGGGACATTCAGTCCATCCGCGTGTGGCACAACAACGAGGGCCGCGCCCCAGGCTGGTACTTAAGTCGCATCAAAGTGGAGAACCTGTTCAGCAGGCACATCTGGCTGTTCATGTGCCGCGAGTGGCTTTCTATCGAGACCTCTTTGGACAGGACGTTTCCCGTCACTGACCCCAACGCGCCGCTGCAGAGAATGGACTTCTTGCTCATCGATGGGACGTACAAGCTGGAGAAGAACCACATATGGTTCTCCGTGTTTGCCGGCGTCATTGCCCGCGGCTTCAACCGGCTGCAGCGGCTGTCCTGCTGCCTGGCCATGCTGCTGTCCACCCTCCTGTGCAACATCATGTTCTTCAACCTGGACAGGGAGGACAAATCCAAGTCCCGGGAGAGCCAATACGTCAGGTCGATGGTCATCGGCTTGCAGAGCGTCATGATCACCCTCCCGGTGCAGTTCATCATCTCGGGGCTGTTCTTCTACTCCCAGCGGAGACCGCAGGCCACCCTGAACGAGGTGGCACCTCAAGAGCACCCCGAGGTGGAAAAGGCGGCCGGCCACTGGGAGGAGCGGCTGGAGAAGTGGTACGCCCAGGAGACGACCGCCGAGGCGCGCTCCCAGCAGACCCCCGGCCAAAAAGCCCAGCAGTCCCAGGGGCTTAAGGGGCGCCAGGAGTCTCTTCCCCAGGCGACCCCCAAAGCAGGGCTCCCGCCTAAGAAAAGAGAAAGCAAGGGCACACCCAAACCCACCCTGCGCACAGACACCAACGCCAACACCGAAAACGTGGACCGCAGTCCCGAGGCACCGCCAGCGCCGCCACCGCCGCCGCCGCTGTCGCTGTCGCCACTGAAATCCAGGACCGTGCTGCCTCCGTGTTGCAAGTGGATCGCGTGGTTCCTGGTGTTCGCCACCTCGGGGGTGTCCTCGTACTTCATTGTGTTTTACGGCCTCACCTACGGCTATCACAAGTCGATTGAGTGGGTCTTCGCATCGTTCTGTTCCTTCTGCCAGTCCATTTTCCTGGTGCAGCCGCTGAAAATTATCCTCCTGACAAGCATTCGAACCAACAGGCTCAAGTACTGCAAAAACCTCCCCTGGATCAGCAGCTACCGCTACACCGAGGTCCAGCTGCAGGAGCTCTGGCTGCACCCCGAGGAGATGGGCCAGCGGCACCTGTACGTCGCCTACCTCCGGGCCAGCAGGATGTACCAGCCTCTCACGCCAGACGAAGTGGGCATTTTCCGAAGGAAGAGGGAGATCAAGAGGAGAGCCCTGCTCTTCCTGGGCCGCTTCCTTGCTCACTGCCTCCTGCTGGCCCTCCTGCTGGGCCTCGGCACCTTCCTCCGCCAAACGGACAGCTTCCGCTACAACCAGTTCATCCGCAGCCGCTTCTCTGCGGGGCTCGCTGCCGTCACCACGCTGGACGACATCTACCCGTGGCTCGACGGCGTGCTGCTGCCTCTGCTCCACAACGACCCCCGCCCAACCTTCCTTCCCGACAGCTCCTCCAAGATCCTCGGCCTCCCGCTGATGAGGCAGGTGAGGGCGGCGCCTGGCCCCAGGGCCTGTCGGCCGGCCGGGCGCTTTCCGCCCGGCAGCATCGAAGGAGAGATTCGCTGCCATCCCAAACACGGGGCCGACCCGGAGGACACCGCCGACCACCCCGGCTTCTGGAAGAAAGTTGACAAGCGGCAGGCAGACAAGAACGCCGACGGCTTCACCTACAGGCCTCGGGAGAAGCGGTGGGTGTACCACTCTTACGGGCTTCTGCACACCTATGGCTCGGGGGGGTATGCTTTCTATTTCTTCCCAGACCAGCAGCGCTTTAACTCCACGCTGAGGCTCAGGGACCTCCGGAGCAGCCGCTGGCTGGACGAGAACACGTGGGCTGTGATCCTGGAGCTGACCACCCTGAACCCGGATGCGGGGCTGCTCTGCAGCGCGGCCGTCCTGTTCGAGGTCTCTCAGCTGGGCGTGGTGAACGCAAGCATACCCGTGCACTCCTTCGCCCTGGCTGATCTCAACATAGGCAGGTCGGCGGAGGCCTACCTGTACGTGGCCATTCTCGTGGTTTTCATCGTCTACGTCGTATACGAGGGCCACGTCCTCACGGAGAAGGGCCTCTTCTACGTGGCCAGTGCGAGCCACTGGTCCAACTTGGCGCACGTGAGCATCTTTGCCGTGTGGATCGCGCTGTCCCTGAGGAAGTACTTCCTGGCCACCGCCGTCATCCAGTTCTACGCATCGAACCCCGAGGACTTCATTCCCTTTCACGCCGTGGCGCAGGCGGACCGCTACATGGAGGTGGCGTTGGGGCTCCTGCTGTTTCTGACCATCCTGAAGACCCTCCGGTACCTCAGGTTCTTCTACCACGTGCGCCTGGCCCAGGGGGTCCTCCAGACGGCCCTGCTCGGCACCTGCCACGCGGCGCTCCTGGTGTGCGTGTACGTCCTGCTGTTCGTGGCTCTTGGCCACCTGGTGTTCGGCCAGCACGAATGGGGCTACAGCAGTGTGGTCCACGCCACGCAGACCGTCTTCTCCTACTGCACCGCAGCTTTGCGGGACGAGGAATTTTCCAGCAACAGGGCCCTCGGCATCCTGTTCCTCGCGGCGTTTGTGCTGCTGCTGATTTGCGTGCTGATGAACCTGTTCTCGGCTGTGATCCTGTCTGCCCACAGGGCCCTGCGGCAGCCCGTGTACGAGGAGCCTTCGCAGGAAGCGGAAGCCATAGTCTACCTGTACGACAAGCTCCGGACGGGCTTCGGCTTCCTGTCCACCCAGCCCCAGGACCCAGGCGAGCGGCAGCCCCTGGTGGACATGCTGTACGGGAAGCCGGAGAAGTGCAGCAGGCACTACCGGGGACTGAAGACCAGGAACATCAACGAGAGGAAGATGGTGTACCTGGTGGTGTGACGCCGCCGGCTGCAGGAGAGCTCTCCCGCCTCCTGCTCAGTTCAGAGGCTCCGTCACCCCGTCGGCCGTGTCCTGCACGACACACACCCCTGCATCTGCGAAGGTTCCCACTCTTGGCCGCCACTTTTAGGAACGTGACAGCAGGGAGTATAGCAGCAGGCAGGGGAGAGCGGTGGGGGGCTGCCAGACACCTGGGATGAGCTCCCTTTGGGGGCACTGAGGGCCTTTGGGGCCCATAGCAGTTTGGAGGAGGGAGCTAAAGATCCCCCTACACACACACACACACACACACACACACCCCTCACTGGGAGTTCTTTTCACAGATCGGAGCTTCCCTGTCCCTTGTCCCCTGCAGCCCCACATTCCAGCTGGGCCAGGGCCGGAGGGCCTGTGGGGAGCTCTGGATGTGCCGAGTTGAGGGTGCAGGGATGAGGGCAGTCGGAAGTCTGAAGCTCCCCACCTACTCCCTAAGGCCCCTTCAGATTAAAGATGGGAAACAGGGCTGTTTTCTGGCCAGGAGACACAGTTTGCGTTAGACAACAAGGGGTGTGTGTGGGCTCGCTCTGACCGTGGCACCTGTGCTGTGTGTGGACCTGGCGGTATGTACCCCAAGGTCTGGGCCTGGTGGGTGGTTACTGAATAAAGACAGTGTTGTTGGTTTCAGACAAACGGGCTGGCAGCGGCTGTATTTCCCTCCGGAGCGCGTTCCTTTGTGTAGGTCCTGCATCAGAATGAGGTGTGACTTCCGGGAGGCGTGGGGGGCTCCTGCCCTGGAAAGCAGCCTGTGGGTGCTTGGTCCTAAGTGTTCATCACTCGCCAGGCGGCCCTGCAACCCTGGCAGGCACCTAGGAGCACCCAGGGCTCCTGCTGGGGCCACTGCCAGGAGAGAAACCCACCACAGCCACTCTCACGGTCAGGGTCAGGCCAGATCTGGATTCTCTAAGTGCCCTTAGGGGAGGTCCCTGGCTTCACGCTGCTTCTACCAGCTGGCTGTTTGCATCAGCTCCTCTCTTCACCACCTTTCCTTTGAAAGACAGAGTGACCAAGGGGAAGGGGCCAGCTTCGCGATGGGATGCACTTGCCCACTGAACATCGGGATGAGAGTTCGGCCCCTGGTGAGGGCGCCGTGCAGGGCCAGCCCCTCTGAGAGGCCCCTAAGACTGAGGCCTCTCTCCGGGCGCTCTGGAGGCCTCCCTTCCCAGGAAGACAGCTCCAGGAGTGGGAGGGTCCTCCCGCACAGGTCAGCACAGTGTCTGGGACTCGGAGCTGTGCCGGAGAGGGATTACAGGGTCACAAACACAGGCCCAAGCCCACAGTCCTGCTGGGGAGTCCTGGAACATGCCGGTCCCAGCATGTGGTCTGAGTGAGGTCCAGGACGGCAGCCATAGGTGCTGTGAGGATTCCAGGCAAGTCCAGCGGTGGCGGGGCCTGTGCCACACCCTGGCAGAGCAGAGCAGCAGGGCCCTAACCCGGTAGAGCCAGGGCCAGTACTTCTTGTCCTTTAGAAACAGACGGGGAATTACAGCATTATCAGGGAGACACGGTGACAAGGGACACAAGTCAAACCTTTGAAGGCCACTTTCACAGGACTTGCAACAATTCATAAGAGTCTTTTGGGAACTCCCTTTTTCTCATCCTATTTCCAGGAAGAGGGTAGGTATATTCCGCCCACGGTTCTAAACCAACTCCTTCCCAAGTCTGCTTCGCACAAGACAAATGCTCCCAATCCAGCCCCCTCTGAACAAGTCTGTATGTGGAGCTCCCTGTGGCTGGGGGGGCGGGGGGGGGGGGCTGCCCTTTGTCTTACTGACGGAGACTTGCTTTAAGGCCTGCTTCTGTACGTCACACTCTTACACACTTAGAAACTATACAACGCTAACGGCCCTTTATCCATTGGCAGCACACACAGTAGGCCCTAAAATAACACTGTTCTGCCCAACGTCATGTTGTAACATTGATGAGACAGGGGGCCCTGTCTGTGCGGAGTGCGTGTTCCCGGGCTGGGTGGGTTCTCCAGTGTCCGCCCTGAGCCTAAACTGTGTGGCAGGTGACCCAGTCAGGGTGAGTGCCGGCGTGCGTGCCCAATATTCATGGTTCAATTCTGCACCTAAAGCTTTAAGGACATGATGGACTCTTCAAGTTGCTACTCAGGAGAGTGAAGTTCCGCCAAGTGAAATCATTAAGGGCTACCGACAAACCAGAATGACTCCGGAGAGGCTAGCTTGGCGCCTCGCAGGCCTAGAGGCCAGGAGTGAGGTGGGGGTCCGGTGGCGGCAGGGTCAGGGGAGCCTGTCTGAGGCTGGGGGCAGGCCGAGCCTGGCGCCAGGAGAACCTTTGGAAGCTGAAGGATGGCGGGGCCCAGATCCCAGGGGCTCTGCAGGCCTCTTTGGGGTTTCGGAGGAGCACGGTGACAGGGGCAAGCAGACACGGCTTCCTAAAGGTCCCGGTGACAACAGGGCTCGGGCCGAGCCCCTCTTCTCAGCTGCCTTTCGGGGCACACGCGGCCCTCCTGCGGCCCGGGGCTCCGGGCGCACGGGGTGCGGGAAGAGCAGGCCGCTCCGGCCTCAGGCGCGTGGGCGGCGGCGTCGCACCTCCGCGCAGGCGGGCTGTTTGCCAGCCGCGCACAGCGGCCTCGGCTCCGCAGAAGCCGGTGGAAACTCAGGAAGAAGCCGAGCACCTTCGAGCATCCAGACCGCAGGCCCAGGGGGCGGCCCCGGACCGGAGGAGGCCGGGCAGCCCCCACAGGCAACAGACCCAGAGGCCGCGGCGGAGGCGGGAGTCTGACCAAAGCGCCCTCCCGCGCTGCGCATGCGCCTGGGAGAGGAACCGCGCACGCGCTGTGGGCGGTCATAGAGCGGGGGCGGGGCCGCGCAGGCGCTGTGGGCAGTCGGGGGCGGGGCCACGCAGGCGCGGTGGGCGGGGGCCGCCGGTGGCGGCGGAGGTGAGTGGAGCGGCGGGGCGGCGGGGCGGCGCGCGCGTCCCACCAGCGCGTGTGGCTCGCCGGCCGATCTCGGCGCCTCGGGGGCGGTCCACGGGGTTCCGAGTGCCAGTGGCCGGAGTCGCTGCCCCGCGGCGCCAGGGCCGGGGCGGAGGACTGGGGGAAGGCCGCCGGGTGGCGGCGGGTGCGGAGCTCGGGAGGGGGATTTTAGGAAAAAGTCAGGTGTGAAGGTTGGGAATAAACCGCAGCAGAGACGGAGAATGCCTGCAGAGCGCACGCCGAAGGTGGTGGCCCAGGTCACGGCCAAGGAATAAAAAATACGTGAACTTGGTTCTGACCCATAGACACGCCCACGCGGAACAGGGAAGGAGTGAACGGTCAGGCCCAGAGGAGCGGGGCGAGCGCGGGGGGCATAGCGAGCAGCCTAACCAATGAGCCACACCGGTTTTGGCAGGAACTGTATTTTAATAAACACCGCCCTTATAATGCTTCAAAGTGCGTGTATACATATTTGGGGGGACACCTTACATTTGCACTTGGAATCCCAACAGAAGAAGAGGGAGAAAGAATGGGGCTTCCATGGTTAAGACTTTTCCAAAAATAATGCGAGTTCTCAAAACACAGGCCGAAGACTGCTTAGAGAAGCACAAGCAGGATGAAACACTTTATGTATACACATATACATATTGTATATATATATATTTATATATATGTGTGTATATATATACAAATACATATATATACTTTTAAATTTTTTTTTCAAACTGCTGAAAGCCAAAGACAAAAAATCTTTGAGGCAGCCGGAGGGAAACTCCGTGGGCAGATGTGAGGGAGCCGTCCAGGGGAGGGAATAGCAGGAGCAGAGGCGAGGCTGTGAGAACCACAAGGAGAGGTGGAGGAGAGTGAGCAAGCCTGGCGGGTGCGGCAGTGACGGGAGAGAGAAGGCCCGTCTCAGAGGGTCCCCGTCGTCAGGAGGGGAGCCTGTGGGGTCAGACGTACCACGCTGAGTCTTGAATTTTGTAAAACCCTGTTGAGTTTTGTCACGCTGTTGAAATGATGAGTCCTGGTGTCTATCCTGTTCCCGTCCAAAGCTCCGTTTGTTGGATTCGGAACATTAAACCAACCTTGCACTCCTCAAGTCTGGTGGAACTGAACCCACTCAGGCTTCCTATCTATTGCAGTTCGCTGATATTTTGCCAAATATTTTTGTATCGGGCTCATGAAGGCTACTGGGCTGTAGTTTTTGTGCCATGGCTTTGTCTGTTAGCGGTGTGAAGGTAACCCGGGCAGTTTTGGTGTCCATGTAGTACTGGCCTCAGAAAATCACTGAGAAGCGGTTTCTTTTTTTGCATTCTGAAATACCTTCTATATGTTGGTACTATTTCTCCTTTAAATGTTTAACAATTTGAGGTTAAGCCATTTTTTAGTTAAAACATTTTCTAATTTCCCTCTCTGAACTATGATTTAGTTAAAATGTTATTGTTTCATTTCCAAGTAGTGGGAGGTTGTTAGGGTATCTTTTTGTTATGGTTTTAATTGGGATTGGAGAACGTCCTCTGCAATTTCCGTTGTTTTTCGTTGTCTGGGGCTTATGTCGGCTCAGCACAGAGTCCCTCCTGGTAAGCGTCTCACATGCACTTGGAAGGAATGTGTGGCCTTGAGGAGGTCTCGGACGTTGGACCTGAGGCCCCCCCTTCGTCTTCTCCGTGGGCGGCATGCCGCCAGGCTCTGAGCTGTGGGCAGATGTTGGTTCTGAAGGTGGCGGGCCTGCCCCTTGATCTTGCAGATGGCGTGCGAGGCGGAGCAGCGCCCCTCGGGTGTGTTTGAGTGCCAGCTCTGCGCCCTGACAGCTCCGTACAGCTACGTGGGGCAGAAGCCCCCCGACACCCAGTCTGTCATGTGAGTGTCGTGTCCGGGGCTCAGGGCCCGTGGGAGGGAGTCCCCAGGAGCAGCTTCCTGCGATCGGCCGAGAAGGCCGGAGGAGAGCCGGTGGGCCCAGCGCCTGGTTCTTGACCTTCAAGTTGTCCCTCACCTGATGCCACGTCATCGGGGAGTGGACCGATGCGTTCCTCACACAGGGCGAGGGGCAGGGCAGGCTCCTCCTGCTGCGGGGTTCCCCTGCTGGCCGGACAGGGGCATCGCCTCGAACCCCTTGGGTCTCCCTCTGGGTATGCGGCGAGAGGCCGCACTCTACAAGGCGGTGGTCCCTGCGTGGAAGCAGGCAGAGTGGGATGGGCGGGACCCTGGAGTGAGGGGAGGGAGACCTCGTGGCCCCGGCCCCACCTGTGAGGCGGTCAGGGCCCCTCAGGCTGCTGAGAAGGGTGGTGGCCCCCCCAGCGGTTGCAGAGCCCAGAGCAGGGGCCAGCCCCTCCCCGCTGAGCCTCCATCAGACCCCAAGCCGGCCTCGCTCCCTGCCCCACAGCCTCCTGGAGGAGAGCTACGTCATGAAGGACCCCTTCAGCCCCGACAAGGACAGGTTCCTGGTCCTGGGCTCCCGGTGCAGTGTCTGCGGCCGGCTGGTGTGTGTGGGCCCGGTGGGTAAGCCAGCGCCACTGCCTCCCTTCCTCCCCCTCACGCCCCCCCCCCCGCCCCCATCTGCCCCCCACGTCCCCCATCCCCTGTCTCCCCCCGGACCCCGGGCTGGGACCCCACACGCATGACGGGACAGGTGGCCCGGGAGCCATTCCCGAGGGCAGAGCGCACCAGCTTTCCTCTCCTCAGGGTCCCGGTCCTCAGTCACCAGGGCCCAGGCGGCTCTCGGAGGCCGGCTGGTCTGCCTCCCTTTGGGGGTCCCGCAGCCAGCACGGGGCAGAGGGCACACGGAGGGCACGCTGGGCCAGCCAGGGTCTCTGTGGGGCCCGAGGGGTACAGGTAGCTTCTGGGAGGCTCTGCACCACCCCAGCGGCCCCATGCAGGCCCTCCCCATCCCCGGGGTGGGGACCTTCTTTCTGGGGGTCATCGGGGGCCCCCCGAGCATCTGTGTGCCAGGCCCTGCTTGGGGGCTGCCTTAGCCATGGGGCTTCTCAGTCCCTCTCCCCAGCCCCAGTCAGTCTGCGCCATGTTACAGGTGAGGGAGCCGGGGGCCCAGCAGGCTGAGCCTGGTGTCTGAGAACACCAGGGGGAGCTGAGTGTGGCCCTGGGATCCGGGTGAGCCTGCCCGAGGGGCTAAGCGTCCTGCCCTGGACTGGTCACCTGCACTGAAACAGCCCCCAGCCCCTCAGAGGCACAGGGCCACTGCCCCAGGCCTTCTCGGAGGCTCATGGCTCCCACGAATGAAAACCCGACACGCGTGCCTGCAGGGCTGCCCCTGGCCCCCTCCCCCGTTTCTTTTTCCCCTGGGCCACCCCCTTGGGCCTCCCTCCTGCTGTTCTGGCTCCAGCTGCACCCTCCCACCTCCCCTCAGCTGCCCGTGCATCCTGGGCCCGCCCAGCCCCTGCCCGCCTGCGCCCGCGCCCCGGCCCTCAGTCTGCCCTCCTCCCCCAGGACTGCAGTCTGTTCTACTCCAGGAGGTTCTGCCTCCCGTGTGTCCAGAAGAACATCCAGGCCTTCCCCCAGGAGATCCGGCAGGACCTGGAGAAGAGGAAAGTCCCATCGAAGAGGCCGGCTGGCCAGCCCAGCGCGCAGGCCTGACGGCGTGGAGGCCCGGGCCGGCGTGGAGGCCTGACAGCGTGGAGGCCTGAGCCGGCGTGGAGGCCTGACAGCGTGGAGGCCTGAGCCGGCGTGGAGGCCTGACAGTACGGAGGCCTGACAGCGTGGAGGCCTGACGGCGTGGAGGCCCGGGCCGGCGTGGAGGCCTGACAGCGTGGAGGCCTGAGCCGGCGTGGAGGCCTGGGCCGGCGTGGAGGCCTGACAGCGTGGAGGCCTGAGCCGGCGTGAAGGCCTGGGCCGGTGTGGAGGCCTGACAGCGTAGAGGCCTGACAGTACGGAGGCCTGACAGTGTAGAGGCCTGACAGTACGGAGGTCTGACAGCGCGGAGGCCTGACAGCGTGGAGACCTGGGCCTGCGTGGAGGCCTGGGCTGGTGCTGAGCTGGGAGCCGCCGTGGGGCCTTGTTCTGAAGCAGCGGCTGGAGCTCCAGGGATAGAGCCGCGCAGAGGAGGCACCTGGGGACCTGCCTGGACTCAGAGCTCGCTCAGTGCCGGACGGGCAGGAGCCAGGAGGTGCCCAGGATCCTGAGGGGCGGAGTCCACCCACTGCAAGTTTTCCGGGCTGTGTCCGCCACATGGCTGGGCTGGAGGGCCCTGATTCTTTCCGTGATGGACCGGCTCCAGGGCTTGTCCACGGGCCACGCTGCTCTGCTGGCCCGAACACAGCTGCACACGGGGCGGGGGCCGCTGCGCTGAGCTGGCCTGGTGTGCAGGCCTCCGGGCGGGGTCCCGTGTGTGCTCCCAACCTCTTTGGCTCCCTCTGGCTCTGGTTCCACCCCGGGCCCCTCGACTCTCTTCCCCCAGGCCCGCCCCCAGCCCTGCTGCCGCCTGCCTGCCTCTCCCCAGGAACAGCCTCGGGCCCGCGGAGGCCAAGCCAGCCTCGAGGCTGTGGTGCTGCGTGTGGAGCTCGCCTCCTGTCTGCTGCTTCCTGGGGCGGGGCTGGCCTGCCTCCTCTCACAGCCCGCGTGTGAGAACTCCGAATAAAGAGCCCCTTCCATCGATCTGGGCGCCGCGTCTTATTCTGAAGTCATGCTTTTATAAGCTTTTCCTGCTTCATGTCATTTCACGCAAATGGATGCCCTGTTCGGGCCACGCTGTCCCAGGCGTGGCGGGTACTCGGTCCGAGGGACACTCGGTGAGGGGCCGGGCCGGCAGAGGGCAGGCTGCACCGTCAGGGGTCCGGTTTCAGACCCAACACCTCGTCTCACAGCATCACACAAACGCAACCAATAATGTTTAAAAATAGTTTATTTTTTAAAACCATTAAGGCAAAATGGTACCCTGAAATTAACTCTTTACATTCATCAGTCTTACAGTAGGACATTCCACACATGTAAGTTACCACAAGTTCAGGCTATAAATCAATACATACGACCAGTTCCATTTCCTAACGGGAAATGAATAAGACCCAAGATTGTGAAAAATTAGTTATTTATAGCCGCTTCCTAGTTACCTGGCCCCACGATCAGGTGGCGCGGCCAGCAGGGTGCCCCGTGCCCTCGGCTGTGCCAGCACCCAGCTGCCTGCGGCCCCGGACCCACCCAGACCAGAAAGCGGGCACTGTGGGTGGACTCGGTGCCCGCTGCGGGGTCTGCGGAAATCCGCGTCCTGCCGGGGCCCCGGGCAGACAGGTGCACACCCAGGGGGACTCTGCCAAGACCCCCACGGGGGACGGGGGACACGGGTGGGAGGTGCTGGCCTGTGGCTCCTGCTTCCTGCTTCGGGCTGGGCCACCGGAGGCTGCCAGGCCACCAGCCGGTGCCCAGGTCCCACCGGGACACAGAGGGGCACAGTTCTTTGGTTCTAACCACAGCCCGGGCTCCCCGCGGAGTCCCGGCCCGGTGGCCTGCCCGGGGCGAGGCGGCCGCGGTGCCTGCTTGTGCGGGCCGAGCGGCAGGGGAGACCCAGGCAGACACGGCTGTGCGTGCTCAGGGCTTGTGCGTGCGGGTCTGTCTGGGCCCTGACGCTTCGGCTCCTGTTCCCAGGAAGCCCCGGGCCAGGCTGGGAAGGGGATCCGTCCTTTAACACTGATTCCAAATACCCAGATGTTTGTGTTAGACACCGGATTGTAGTTAGTAAAACATTTATATTAGGATTTAAAAAAAAATTCAAATCACAGTATTGAGGACACAGCTATTGGCGTGGCTCTTGTCACCGGACGGTGTAGGGCGAGCAGGGAGGCGAGGTCACCAACACTGCGCGTGGCAGGGTCTGTCCTGAGGTGCATTCTTCTCTAGGCCTGAAGGAGGCAGTGGCCAGCCTCTTTTGAAAAGACATTTCCGCAAAGTGAGTGGTTTTACCTTGAAAAGGTGGGTCCGTCCCTTGTCTTCAGGGCCGAGCCCCCTCCCCAGCTCCTCCAGTCCCCGGAGGCGGGACCCTGTAGTGCATGGGGACCAGGGTGGTGGTGGGGAGGCAGGTGAGAGGGGAGGCCGGACCTATTTTAAATGAAGAGCGACGGGGAGGGGGAGGGGGAGAGAGAGAAGGGAAGGAAGGAAGGAAAGAGGGAAGGAAGGAAGGAAGGAAGGAAGGAAGGAAGGAAGGAAGGAATGACGGGAGGGAGGGAGGAAAGGAGGGAGGGAGGGAAGGAGGAAGGAGGAAGGAGGGAGGAGAGGAGGGAGGGAGGGAGGGAGGGAAGGAAAGAGGGAAGGAAGGAAAGAAGGAAGGAAGGAAGGAAGGAAGGAAGGAAGGAAGGACGGGAGGGAGGGAGGGAGGGAGGGAGGGAAGGACCAGACCCAGGTCTGAACAGCTGTCTCTGACGTAGGAATGGATGTTGTTCGATGTTTTGCGGGCGATGCATTTCACACGGGGCCAGCGACGTCCCGATGTCACCGGGTGCTGCAGGCGCCGGTGCCTGGACCAGGGCTGCAGTTGCTGAAAGATGCCCAGGGGACGCAGCTGCATCTCAGCTGGGCCTCCCATGTGGCGTGCCAGGGGCGTAGCCGGCGCTACTCCTGTGCCCCGTGCTGAAACTGCGAGTAGCACGTGGCAGGGCCGCCTCACTGCTCTCAGCGGGCTTTCTGTGTTTTTAATTTTTAATGTGCCTGCAGCCCACTCTGCTGGAGCAAAGTGTAAGAAATGGCTGCATTCCGCCAAAACAGCGGGATGGAAGGCATGGCGGAATTATTAAAACTGACCAAGAAGTCTTCTTTCCTTTTTTTTTTTTTAAATCAACTTCCAATGTCACATTTTAGTTGTCAGATTGTCGTTCCAGGGAAATACAGCGCCTGATTCAGACCAAATGCACTGCCTTTGTCAGTGACCATTTTCTTGAATTTGATTAAAATGGCACTTAAAAAAATATATAGATAGACCTCAGCAAACACAGACCTCGACCTCCGAGCCTGAGCTTTGCTCTTTCTGGGCGGGTCCCGCCGGGAGGACCCGTCCAGGGCGGGTGGAGAGAGGAACGCGGCTCCAGCCTCAGAGGCCTGGGCAGCCGTGCAGCGCTGTCAGCACTGCGCCTGCTCCGGCACACCCCAGGCCGTCCTCAGGACCTCCAGCCGCAGGGCCCTCCGAAGGCCACGTGGCCACCCGGGGGAGCCTGAGTCAGCCACGAAGGGGGCTCCAGCACTGCCGCCTTCCTGCGGGGGGCGCTGTGAGAGGCCACGTGGGATGAGAGGTATTGGAAGGGGCTGGCTCCCCTGGTCCCTGGAGGCCCCCGTCTCAGCCGGGCGTGCTGGCCTCGCTGGTGGAAGCAATGGCCCCGCACTCAGGAGTTCCTGGGACCTTCCAGCGCAGGGGCCCCGGCAGAAGCCGAAAACGCCGCAGGAGGCGGTGAGCCAGGGCAGACATCGGGCGGGGGCGTCTGTGCGGTGCCCGGTGCCCGAGCAGGAGCCCGCGCCCAGGCCTCTGCGCGGCTGCGGTGGGCGCTCGGGTGCCTCCGAGGGCCTGGCTTCCCGCCTCTCCAGCCCGGCTGCTCGGCCCCGCCTCACTAGGACAGCAGCTCTGTGCACGCGTCTGACGCCCCACAGCAAACGCTTCAAACCACGGTAACCTCCGTTTCCGGGTGCGGCGGGCGGGGAGGGCGGGGCTGCGCAGGGGTTCGAGCACCATGGCCGAGCGCCGCCTGCAGACTCTCGGTTGAGGTAGCTGAGTTGCGGTGGCTCTGGTTACTTCCATCAGGGCCGGCAGGGCCTGTGCCTCGGGCCCTGCCAGACCCCAGCCGTCCACTCGGTCCCGGCCTTTGCCTTAGAGGCTCTGACGCCCCGGAAGCAGTGGGGCAGGTCCGTCCGGGCCGTCCGGGCCCTGAGTGCAAGGCAAGGGCCCGTCGAATGGGGGTGCGCTCGGGGCTCCCGGCATGACTTGCGCTTCTACACACCCGCCGGGAAGGTCTCCGGGATCCGGAGAGGGCGGAGGAACGACCCGCTCGGCAGTCACCGTCACAGCCCCACTGAAGTGGGCACTGGGTGCAGCACCCACAAGGTGCAGAGCCCGAGGGTGGGACCCCAACCAGAGATGCCAGGGGAGCAGGATGGGCGGAGAGGACCAGGCGGCCGAGCCGGAGCTGCCGCGGTTGGAAGGAGGGGAGGTGGTCTTGGGAGCCGGGTGGTCCTTCCTGGCCTGGGCAGGGGACTTAGGTGGCAGGTGGCCCCATGGCCGAGGGCTGGCATCTGCGGTGGCAAGTCAAGGCCGTGAAGGCACAGGCTGAACAGACTTGCTGGCGGAGTCCTGGGGGGCCTCCCCCAGAAGAGGCGGCTTCACACTCTGGTTGGCAGCTTCTGGAACCTTCTAGGCCGCGTGGGTTGTCCTCTGTGCAGGCGGGTGGGTCCCGGGACACAGCAAGCACGCCTGCCGCCCCCACAAGCGTGAAATGCCGCAGGATGCATGCCGCCTGGGGAATCGGTGCGTGGACCCGTGAGGCCAGAGTGGCCGTGGCGAGACCACGGATGGGAACACGGATGGGAACACGCCCAGGGTTGCGGCCCCAGAGGACCAGTGCCCTCCGCTGGCCGCTGTGGGAAGCCGAGCCGGTCACTAGGTGCTCGCAGCCGGTCTACACCAGCTGCTGCGTGGGACGCACGGCTCTCCGAAAGCCGGTCTCCAGGCTCACTCCCCGAGGCTGGAAGTCCCGGCCTGGACCCCCTCGCTGGGTGGCTCACCATGGCGACGCCGTCACTGGCTTCCCGCTGGCCCTCCGATGGGATCTTCAAAAGCCACCGCGCACGGCAGCGCTAACAGGACGGCGGACGGAGGCTCTCTCTCCTCCGGGGGCCCTTCCAGTGTGACTGCTGCTTTCCCGTGCTGCCGTGGGACCTTCGCCAGGACGGCCCGAATCCTCCTCCCCCCGTACACGGTCATGACCTTGAAGAGCCACGTTTTCCAAAGCCGGGGGTGGTGGTGTGTATGTGGAGGGCGGGGGTAAGGATGGAGGGCGAGGCATCTGGGGACCCCTGCCTGTGACGCCCGGCAGGCGGGCTGCTGAAACGGGGGACACTGGGTCGCCAAGGTGACGGAGAGAGGGTGCTTCAGGCCACGTGCTGGGGACCCAGTCCGCATGGCTCTCCCGGACCGGGCTGGGAAGGCAGACCTTTCAGACGCAGGGAAAGCCCCTGGCGGAGGGTGTGGAGGAGGACACTTAGCTGCCAGCCTTCATAAAGACCACCCCGGGCGTGTCCTGGCTCCCGGTGCAGCCGTTTGACAGACCTTGCCCGCCCCTCACTGCTGTGCTCCTGTGACCGCCCCCCGAAGTCTCAGGTGCCTGTCCTTCCACTCCGGGGAGTGGCCACGGAGCGGAGGCGCGGCCCAGAGGAGGCCGCCCGGGAGCTGCAGCCGTGAGGGGACCCAGGCGAGGGGTCCGGGACCCCGAGGCACTTCTGAGTCTGTCCGTCCGGCCCACGGACGCCGGCTGCACACAGGCCCGTTGTCCAGACGCGGCTCCCGGGACCCTCCCAAACCTGGACACAGGCGTCACCAAGGGACGGAGCGCGACAGGCGTCGACTGCAGTAGCTTGTCCGTAACTCCCCGCACGCTAAGCCCTACGACCCCTCACGAGCACGTCTCCCCTGGAACTCAGGAAACAGGACCGAAGCCTCCGAATAAATACGCGCTGCTGTGAGACCCTCCCCTTTGGCCACATCTGGATGCACAGGATCCGAAGGTTAAAAGCGCCATCAGCTTCCCAGGTCACACAGAGCCAGCAGCCCCGTGGGCCCGGAAGGCAGCCACTGCCGTGAGGTCCGGGGATTCGGTGGGACCGAGAGGGTGCTTTCGTCCGGGCCACCTGGTGGGTTCACGCCCGGCGGCTTCTCCCAGCCGCCCCGGGCGGCGGCCGGCGGGGATGGGGCCGGGCCCGGGGCGGGCGGCGGCTGGCCCCGCGGAGCAGTCCTCCCGCCTCAGTACATGTCGCGGTAGATCTCCTGCAGCAGTGGGTGCAGTGCGGCGTCCGCCTCGGTCCTCTTGATGACCTGCACCAGCTGTGCGTGCTCCGTGACCAGCTGCCGCAGGTCCGCCATCTTCTGCAGGAGCTTGGGGAACAGGAAGGCGGCGTCCGGGTGGTTGCCCTGCAGGTGCAGCCTGAGCACGTGCACGATGCCCTCCTGCATCTGCTCGATCTGTCCCACGTGCAGGAGGCCCGGGCGATCTGTCCCCAGAGGAAAGACACACACGGCTGAGTCGACGGTCACCACGGCGACGCCCAAGACACGGAACCCCCATCCTGCCTGGCCTTTCTCCCCTGAAGCCATGAGCTTCAGATCCTGTAGGCCTGACCACAAGGGACCAGAGTGGGCCCTGGCCAGGGTGGTTCAGTGGATAGAGCGTCGGTCTGCGGACTGAAGGGTCCCAGGTTCGATTCCGGTCAAGGGCATGTACCTTGGTTGCAGGCACATCCCCAGTAAGGGGCGTGCAGGAGGCAGCCGACTGATGTTTCTCTCTCATCGATGTTTTTCTCTATCCCTCCCCCTTCCTTTCTGTAAAAAAATATATTTTTTAAAATAAAAGTAAATAAATAAATTGCTGCTCTCGGTCCGTGGTTGGTTGAATCCCTGGATACAGAGCCTGGGACGCGGGAGGCCAGCGTGTGTTTACCCACCGAGCGGCGTGTCCCCGCAGTCAGCCCCGCTGTCCAGGGTCGCCCGGTTCTAACTTACTGAACAAGGGAACCCCTCGGCGTGTTAACCCCGCCCTGCAGGCTCACTGTCTGTCCATCGGCCATCTTCCTACATGGGCTGATGGTGACCGGAGTTTCCTTTGTGAACCTGTGGCTGCTCTACACAGTTCTCCAGCGCTCTGTCCCCGTGTCCTGAGCGTCTGAGGGGGTGACAGGTCAGCACGGCTGCGGCCACTGCACTTGTGTTGCCGAGCGGGAGGACTCCCTCCTCCGACTGCCCAGCGGGTGGTACAGAGACAGCCTCGTGGGGCTGGGCTGGCCCCACCTGCCCCCACCCGCCCCCCTCATTCTGCGAGGAAGTCCATCTCGGGGGCCGCACAGCTCCCAGGAGAGTGTGGGACAGGCTGG